TATATTAATAAAAATAGAAATGTATCATTACAAAGTGAAACCGGAACTGAACGGGCCCCTTTTGACAAGATTGTTCTTTCCAAATTATCTGGTGAGCCAAGGATAATTTTCTTGTCCATTTAAATATATCTTACTTATTTCAAGCAACTATATATTTCTGCGATATTTTGTTGTTTCTCATATTAAAGCTGTGCTATGCCACATTTTTCTGTTTTAACTATGCTTCTTGCTTTTCTTCGTTAAGTTGCCAGCATTATCTTTTTTTTTACACCATTCATATCTGCCCATTCGTATTACACAGTATTCAGACTCAGCTCGTTTGTCAAACTGACTGGTTTTTTTTACCCCACAAACACCGACGACCGACATTAATAACTGTTAATCACTCATTAGCCTGCCGTAATTTTGTTGTTTGCATTCTACTTAGGGGAAAAACGGAACCGACACGGAATAAAGTTAAGCCATTGACCCATCCAGGGGCAGTCAACGGGGCCCTGCCCCCCCCAAGCTGAAAGCACGCTTTTTGTCTGCCCGCTCTGCCTTCCTTCAGAATGTAAACAACAACACATTCCAAAATAACCCCCCCCCCCCCAGAAAAAGGTTCTGGATCCGCCCTTAAACTACACACAAGCACGGATTGAAGTATAATGACCGGGGAAGTGCAAGTTGGCAGACAACGGGAGCGGGATACCGGGAATAAAGGGAATGGCGGCTTGCCAAAATGTGCTCAGGGAGGGGATGTGGAACAATCCCCCCTCCCCCAAGGTGGGGAAAGATAAGGAAACAAAATACATTAGAGGGTGGTGGACCCCAAGAAGGGCAGATTATGTGGATCAGGAGAGTGAATTAGACTGATGAAAATACACGTAGTCGTTTTACTGTAGGTTTGAATGGTCCGAAACGGGCTTTGGTATATCACTTTAAGAATTATTTGACCATGCACGAGAATTCAGTTTGACGTGTAGTTTTGTTTTACTGCATATGTCTTTTCATGCTGCCTGAAAAAAAATCTAATTCAGCAGTTGAACGTCAAGAGACTGTCTGAAGTGTTTATATGTATTGGGGTCTGTGTTTATTGAAATGTTAGATTGAGTGTCCCGGAATGTCTCACTGAAGGACGTTTCTTGTCACTGTGCGAATCATGTGTGAGGCCCACACTTTTATTGGCTCATTTAATAAACACATCAGTCAGCGGCATATCGGGGGGGGGGCAGGGGGCGTATTTATATATCAAGCAGGTGTGCTTTTGATTTTTTACCCCCCCCCCATTATATATTATGTTAAATGAGCCCGAAGCCGCATTCGCTTTTTACTTTGCCCCTCCCCCCACCAATAGCTGGAGACGCTGCTGTCCTCATGCAGTTCGTCGATATCGTTTTGTAGTCGTGTTACTGTAGTCTGCACTTACATCATGCCAATGAAATACAGTTTTGAAGACATGGAGGAAGAAACGTTTTTCTTTATAACGATGGCAGAATTGATATTTTGCCTATGGAACGTTTACGCTTTGTGTCTTAGGACCAAACCTTTCTACCGATCACAGTTAACTTTAGTATCATAATGTAGGCCCTCTTTGACAACCGTCAGTTTTTCCCATGGAAGCCGTATAAAATGCTGTTCTATGGGGTGGCCGGGGGATTGATTAACTTGGACAGTTGGAAATTGAGGGGAAAAAAACAATTTTGCCCCCTAGGCCTATCCCAACAAAAATCATGTAGACCACTAGAACATTGGTTAAAGAACTTATGATGTAACTTTGTGCATTGCACCTTATTTCACAATTATTTTTCTGACCTAGCTGGCTTAAATTTGCTTTGGTTTCCATCCGCTGTAAATATTACATATACATACATACATACACATATTATATAATTTTGTGAATAAAAGAACCTTACTAATACGGGCGATTCACAGTAGCGCACCTCCAAGAGTTTACAACGCGTTGACCAATCACAGTGCGCAAAATTTGTCGACCCTTTCCAAACGCGCATTGAGTAGAC